GCCTATGGAACTGTATCATAAAATGATAATAATAATAAAAAGGAATTTATTCTCAAACAATTTCATGATGGACACCACAGTTGAGAACAAAGTAAAGTGGAAGGGAAAAAAGTCCTTTTCTTCCATGTCTATGTAACACCTAATATTATTACACAGATAAAGAAATACTCAAATAATGTGGACATTGTTTACATGCCCCAACCTGTCTTCTTATTCAAAACTGGCAACAAATGACATAACTCTACTTTGAAATTCTCCATTACCTCTCTTTCTTTTTCTTTTCTCACGAAGCTCAACACCGTCTTGGTTTTAACTCTAGATCATCTGCCTTCTGTTTTTCTTTGACCATTCTGCTGGAATTTAAATTGTGTCATCTGTCTGCCTGCTCTGATCTCACTTCATTTGGTTAAGTACCTTTAAGGTGAGGACAGCATCTAATGCCAACTTTTTGGATGATAAGCTCCCTCTTTGTTCATTGACCACTCCCTCAGCATTGAAAACCAGGTTATTTTCTCTAGTTATCTCTGCCTTTCCTTTTCTGTTGTTACAAAGCACTGTCACCTTACTGCAAAGCTTTACATCTCTTCTCTCTCCTTTCACTGCCAACAGTAACCCTGCTATGTCAGGGTGCCACCAGCGCTCTCGGATGCCAGCTGACTTTCAGCAGCAGTGATAACAGCTCTCCTGGGCCCTTTCCTTTTGCCCAATTTCAAAATCCAATCCTTCACTTCTTTGTGATGTTTTCTTTGAAATAGTTCTCAGGTTTACCTGTGCTTCTGGATCCCCATGGTAACCATTGTAGTCTACATGTTATAATCAGCTAGAATACTGTAACAGTAGCAAAGCTAGCTGCTGTGATTTTCCTGTCTTTTGCTTTTGTTTCTGTCCACTTTATATTGGGTGCAAGTCAAACTGGAGTGCTTGTTAAAAATGAATAGTCTTTCAATTCTTGGCTCCAACTCCTGCCCTCTGCTTCCCATTAATGTAGACACTTTTGAGACATCAGTGATGATTTGAGTAATTGTGTTCCCAACACCCATGTCAGAAATATGATGAGTTTCTGCTTCTGGCTCCAGACCAGACCAACCTCAGTCAATGCCGGCATTTGAGGAGTGAACTAATGCATGAGAGTTTTTTGTTTAACTCTGTCTCTATGCCTCTCAAAAAAAGGAAACACAATGAAAATAAAGCAAAAAACAAAAATGTTCTGAACAAAATGCATCATGCCAGGCCCCATCCTACAGATTTTTATTCCATGGATTTGAGAGTGGTCCCTAGAATCTTCACTTCAACAAGCATTAAAGGATCATGCAAAGGATGCATATTGTAGCCCATGTGTTAAGAAAAAACGCTGAACTATTACAATGTGCACTTGTGACGATTTTGAATGATTGTGTTATACCAAACTCAGGTGAATTTTCCTCCAAAATCACCCTTATCAGATATCCTCATAGATTCAGAGAAAAAAAATAAAATTGACAGTTATAGTACCTCCAAATTCCCTTTCTCAGTTTCTAAGCTACTGTCTGCCAGGGCTCTTCCCGCCCGCACCGTGCTCCAACAGGCTGCTGAGTGCTCTCTCCCCTGTGTTCGAGTGGCATCGGTCTTTACTAAAAAAGATGTCAGCAGTGAAGGAAAGACAGGCAGGAAAGTAAGAATGGGCAATGTACACAAAACCCTGGAAAATAAGGACCAAGAGGACGTGATGCTGATGTCTTAGGTCAAAAGACCACTTTGTTTTATATGGTGTCAGGCAGAGATCTAACGTTTCAGGAGCTACTGTGTTCCAATGACTGATAAAGCTTTTCTCTTCAGTCTTCTCTACCAATGAATTTACATTTGTTCTTTCTACTTAGACTGTTTTTTTCTATCATCTACGATTTATTCAGCAAACAACTATTTATGTTTATGGTTTTAGCTTAAGTTGTCACTTCTGAGAACATTCCCTATTCTGCACTATCTCTGCCCTAAGTCGCTCAGATCATGCTCACATGCATTCTCCTAGAACCTTGTTTTCCTTAATCTTGGCTTGCAACCTTGGAGTATTTGACTCACTAATTTAATTACTCTGCATATAATGCCTTAGCTTCAGCTTCCTTGACTGCACACTTTCATTGGATAGCCCATTTCTGTCCCAGGGCAGTATAAAGATGGCTCTAAAAGTTCATGGAAAGGTGGAATTAAAAATAAGTTTATCTTGGGCCTGGTGTGATAGCATAGTGCCTAAAGTCCTCACCTTGAAAGCACAGGGATCCCATATGGATGCCAGTTCTATTTCTGGTGGCTCTGCATCCCATCCAGCTCCCTGCTTGTGGCCTGGGAAAAGCAGTCAAGGATGGTCCAAAGCCTAGAGATCCTGCACCCGCGTGGGAGACCTGGAGGAAGCTCCAGGCTCCTGTCTTTGGACTGGCACAGCTCCAGCCATTGAAGCTGCTTGGGAGTCAACCACTGCACAGAAAATTTTTTTCTCTGTCTCTCCTCCTCTGTGTATATCTGACTTTGCAATAAAAAATAAATGAATGTTTTTTTAAAAATTTATTTTGTATTTTGAAACACTTACAAATTTTACTCTTTTTATGAACTTTTTAAAGAGCTCTCATGTATATGGATTTTATAATATTGAACTAAAATAAGATTTTATAATATTGAACTAAAATAAACACATTTTAATTCCATTTTATTTATTTATTTTTTAAAGATTTATTTATTTATTGGAAAGTCAGATATACAGAGAGGAGGAGAGACAGAAAGGAAAATCTTCCGTCCGATGATTCACTCCCCAAATGAGCGCAATGGCCGATGCTATGCCGATCCGAAGCCAGGAAGCAGGAACTTCCTCTGGGTCTCCCGTGTGGGTGCAGGGTCCCAAAGCTTTGGGCTGTCCTCTTCTGCTTTCCCAGGCCACAAGCAGGGAGCTGGATGGGAAGTGGGGCTGCCAGGATTAGAACCAGTGCCCATATGGGATCCCAGCGGGTTCAAGGTGATGACTTTAGCTGCTAGGCCACGCCTCCAGGCCTTAATTTCATTTTATATACATGTTTCAATGTGTCCTAATGACTCCATGAATAATTGGTAAACAAACGGGAGAAAACCTATCTGTTGCTCCTCTATTCCATATTACACACATGCTGAGGTGGTGAATATTTTATTGGTCAAGAAAATGCTGACTTAATCATGTCCCATTAGGAAGCATCTCAATGTTATAATCCCAAAATGGCTCTTGCAGCCAACACAAAGTCAAACTGACCAACCCAGAGAGCGCCAGCCTGTTTCAGACCTTTTTGTCACAAATGACCTTTTCTTCATCTTCCTCCTTGAACTTTATCACCAGACCTCCACGTTATGGAGACAGACTTCACTGCTTACAAGTACATTTTTGCTTGCAATAATCAATTTTTGGTCTTTTAAAAACTTTAAGAATATCACCACCCCATTAGCCCTTTAGTTTTTCTTACTCATTTCTCAACCTTTTGCTTGATACCCCTTCTCTGTCACTAAATTGCTTTTAGAACCTATTGATGATATGCTTTGCCTCCAGATTACATTATTCAGATGTCTCTTATCTATAATGTGTCAGTTCACTTAAAGGAAAAAAGCTACCCTGGATTACTATGTCATTTTCAGCTTTTGCTCAGTACACATCCCATATGGTAATGTAAATTTTGGATTAGAGGGTCAGACATACTTTCCTCCAAATCTATATTAGAGGTTCATATTGAAAGAGAATAAAATATTTTCCCAAGCAGTTTTAGGTATTATTCTAAAAATATTTCTGAATATCAAAAATCAGTGGATCATTGATAAACAGTAGTGTATTTATTTATTACTCAAAAATATTTTTGAGTATATACTAGGTATTGTTCTAGAAGCTCGGGCTACTGAAGCGAACAACGGTAACGTTTTAGCAGTGTGAGAAGATTCTAAGCAAATGAACATAAAGAATGTCACATTGAAAGTTGAGAAGAGGTTATAATTTGAGATATTGAATTCATAGCCTGTAAGAATTTTCATTTTTTTCCCAAAAGAATTTCTATGCATATAAGTAGAAGTGGATAGTGATTTAATCTGTGTTTTGCCTACAGGAAAAAAAATAGACTTGATTTGTCCTTTCAAGTATCTAAACTTGGATTTACTATTTCTTTTTTGGCCACATACATTTTGTTTTTCTAGTCTTGACAGCCTCACCTTATCCTGGAAAAGAGAAATAGGCTAGGAAAGATCAGTAAGAAAAGGACAACGATAACTAGGAAAGCTTGGGCTGGACAAGTAAGAGACATTGGATCTTCATGCTTGAGGATTTCCAATGGGAACATTGAAAACTGTTACCCTTTATTCAGAACAGAAAAAAATCAGTGGTCTAATGTTGAAACCCAAAGATTTCCATGGCAACAAAATGTATTGGCAGAGAGATTCATATGAGTGTCACCTTTACTCTCTTGATTCTACGACCAACAAAATAAAAACTTTTTTTCGTTGTTTAAGTATCCCCTTTCTCTTCTTCCTTCCATTTGGATTCTAAGTCCACGATTAGACACACTGATTCAGAGATGGACTAGGACCTATAACTTCTCTCTCCTGCTTCAGCCAGTGCTGCTAAGGACCATGTGCCCTGGGGTGCTTGCCTGAAGGACTGCTTCATGGTTAAAAGGCAACACAAATCCATCTTGTGCCAAATTTCTTTCTTTAGAAAATGACAAAGTGTAGCTCAAGCATAGTTAATAAAATTGCAGCAAAGATGAAACTGTGAGTCATCTGTCATACCCTGGTCTCTCTTTTACTAATCGGTTGTGAGAAGCATTTCAAACCCAGAGAGCAGCAGCAAAGAAATATGAGATGCTCAGGCTTCTTGAGGCAATTAGACACTAAAGAGCAGAAGGCGAATCAGTCTTCCCGCTTTGACAGTCTTAAAATACACACTGAAAGTCGACTTTGGTGTTACGTTATTTGTGACAGATTTTGACCATAACACATTTTTTAAAGAGGAAATAAAAATTACTCACTTCAGGACATGCGTTCCACCCTCGCATCAGCAGAGAAGACAGAGGCTTGGGAATGGAATAACCAATGGGAGGTCTGATGTGGTGGTAGGCCATGTCTGCTGCTGCAGCCGCTGCAAACCCAACAGTCACATTAATTTTGAAATTCATGTCTTGATTTCAAGAAGCATCTAAACAAATCAAAAAAGGCTATCAAAAACAACATGTAAAACATCACCGGAGAGTCAAAGAGAATTTCGGTTTATTTTTAAAACATTTTTCAAAACTTTGAATAGTGAATCATCTGGTTCTTCGAATTTATTTTTGTAATAGTAATTCCTTTGTTTTTCGATTCAAGGCATAGTAAGCAGTGGGGATTTACAAAGGAGCAAAGGAATACACAAAGGAGTGAGTGTACAAGGAGCAAGTGGTCTACTACTGTATCTGAAGCATAGAATATGTACCCGGAGCTGTGGGAAGTAGCTCCAGGAAAATTTGACCGGATTGTAGAGTGCCCTGAATCGAAGGGTGAAGGGCTTATATTGAACACGCAAAGATATGGGATAACTCTGAACTGTCTTCATCGTTTGGGCAAAATAGAGTTGTTAAATTTAAATCCCATCAGTGTTTACAAGGATATTGGGGTTTTCATTGTTTAAAGTAGAAAATTTAAGGCAGATATTTTACTTATATTGTCTTAGATAATCGTACACATAGCATTGATGGCTGCATGATTCCAAGCTGTACATCACCGCACTGTGATTCTTGGAACTTCCTTGTGGATTCTGCTTGCCCAGTGTTTGCCCGTTTTGCAGTTAGTGATTTCCACAGCTCTCGTGAGACTAAACTGATAGCTACTTCCACGGAACATAGTTTGTATAAGACATCATGATATATATTTATTAAACTCTGTACAGCCTTATCACATAGATACATAGTAGAGATTGCAAGGCATGTGCACATGTGTTCATGTATATGTTTAACTCATATTTAATTTGTAAACATTTTACATTTTAATAGTTTGCATCTACTTGTGTTCCAAAGTCCATGTTAACTTCAGGACGTATCACAATGAAAAGATACTGCAAGCAATCCAAGATGCTCTGTTGATTCCTCAGATAAATTACTCTTCATCAATGGGAGAATAAAACATCAAGACAGTGTTGCTCAATGCATTCGCTTTGTGATGTTGTAAACATCTTTCCACATCATCATTTTTGAAATACAAGGCACAACCACAACCTCTCCTCTACCAAGGTTTATTCCCATTAAAGTTTGTTCATTCACCTATTTCAAATAGATTTGGGAAGTTGCACTGGTGAAACTTCACATTTTATTTTATGAATTATTCTGAATCAATGCATATTTTATCAATTATAAAATTAACACTTTTCTTTGTAGAAGTTTACAAAATTCAAAGATTGAAAAAAAGTTATTCAGAGGCAATCATTGTTGAAACACTTTTCTTATATATTTCTATAACTTTGAAATTATGTTAATATATCATTATGTAATTATTTTTGCCTAAATTCAAGCTTTACATCATGTAATTAAACATTTTCTAAGCTGTTAAAATTTTGTTAATGTACTTTAATCACTCTGATTGATTTATCCCTTTCCCAGTTTTAGGTTAGATGCTAATACATCAAGAGTATTTTATCACCGGAAACTCAATGGCTTGTTTATAAATTTTCAGAGGTGAGAAATAAGATTTCAAATGATATATTAGTTTCAAGATTTGGTTCATATTAATAAGCTATTTTTGGCAGTTGTACTAACTTATAGCTTCAATTACAAATGTATGAGAAGGATGTGATTATATTTATGGCAGAGTTAGATCTTTATTTTGTTAACTTCAGAGATAATATACCCAATCTTCAGTTTGTCCTCTTCATTACGTAATGTGTTACTACTGAATGAATATGTATTTTGCGTCACAAAATATCAGTGTGCTAGATTTCATTCATCATTTACTCAGGTATTTTTAATTTTTTCTAGAATGAGATAAATATATGAGCAAATAAATTTATAAAAAGTACAGATTTTCTAGTTCTATTTTGTTATTTTATGGAAATTTAAGTATGTGCAGCTGATGCAGCTATTTGCTGCATATAAAACAGTATAATAAGCATGTTTAACCTAATTATTCATAGCCTAATGGGTGGGAAGGGATTATTCATAAAATGAGTTAAACTCAGATGCATGAGTCTGTCATTCTCCTTTGAAACTCTTTTACATTCTAATGTCAAGTGGGTAGAGTTACTCATTTGCTTCTTGGCACTGTGTCTGGACAATCAGTTTAAGATGGATGGTATTTAATTTTTCATTTTTCAAAGTGAATTCTGCAAAGCCTTGGCATCTCCATCTCCCCTTTGTTTCACACTTTCCTGGCACTGATACCATTCATTAGCACTTTATGAGAAAGTGGAAAATGCAACATGAAGGGGTCATAGAATTGAAATTTGTCACCTCTGAGGTTGTTTAGTCTGTTTTGCATGAGTGGTCCTGCTTCTCTTATGGTAGGCATATTTTCAGATTCACAATGACTGTCGGCCCATTAATAAAAAATTTAATTTGGTTGTTACAAAAATATTTTAAATATTTGTGTAAATGGGGCAGAGTGCGATAGCATAGCAGCTGAAGTCCTGGCCTTGAACACACCAGAATCCCATATGGGCACCAATTCTAATCCCAGCAGCCCCACTTCCCGTCCAGCTCCCTGCTTGTGGCCTGGAAATGCAGTCGAGGACGACTCAAAGTCTTGGGACCCTGACCTGTGTGGGAGACCTGGAGGAAAGTTCCTGGCTTTTGGCTTCGGACTGGCGCAGCACCAGCTGTTGCGGCCACTTGGGAAGTGAATCATTGGATGGAAGATCTTCCTCTCTGTCTTTCCTCCTCTCTGTATATCCGCCTTTCTAATAAAAATAAATAAATCTTTAAAAAATTTAAAAATTGTGTAAATGTTTTTACTTTCACAAAGGAAATGTTGCCATTAATAGAGAATAAGGCTAAATTAAAGCAGTAGCAGTTTCTTGAACAATTACCTTAACATAGCATTAGCTTGGTAAAACTGGTAGCCAACTTTGACAAGAAGACTGTCTACCAGAATTTTGTAATGCAGAGAAGATCCTTCTGCCTAGTCCATGTGGCAGCATGAGGCTTTTGACTAAGACATTGAAATTTTAATTTAACTTAGACATTGAAGTTTTAATTTGTTCAATCTCAAATAATCTCAAGCAACCATGATTAAGGGCTTCCATACTGGACAGTACATGGCAGAATCTGGATTTTTCTCATTTCCATTCTGAATAAGGAGATTTCAGTTAAACACAATTTTGTGAATCAACTTCAAGGTTCTACATAACCATGATGTCAGTCTGTGCATTCAAATTCTTCCATGTATAATGAGATTTTCTTAAACATGGAAGGAGACTGGGAATGTTTTGATGTGGCAGTTAAGATGTCACCTGGCAAGCCCAACTCTCTGGTTGCAGTGATTGAGTCTGTGTAATGTCTCCACTGCCTGATATTGCACACACTGGGAGGCTAAAAACAATGCCCTAGTCCTTCTGTACCTGCTGCTCATGGGGAAGTTAAGGATTGAGCTGAGATCTCCTGATTTCGCCTGCACAGTCCTGTATATTGCAGGCATTTGAAAGTGAGCCAATATATAGAATCTCTCTCTCTCTCTCCTTTTCAAATATATTAAAAAAATAATAGAAAAGATATGGAGGTTAAGCATTTCTTTTAAAAGAGAGCATCCAGCAACACCTGATAAGCTTTATCCATGTATTCATATAACAAAATGAATTTAATGCTATAGGTAAGTTATTACAGATAGAGCAAAATAATTTTAAAATAAAATTTAGCAAATAAGTAATAAAGAAATAATGCCTGGATTTCCAATGCTTGTTATGGTTCAATTGAAAATGCTGAAATGTGATTCCTTGTGTCTGAAACACTCCTTTGTATCCTGCTTCCCATCGTAATATCTAGTGTCATATATGCCTATCAGAGTTTGACTCTGTCTGGGTGCATTAAGATCCTAACTTTCTGCAGATCAGAAACTGTGTCTTTTTTTTTTAAACAAAAAAGTTATTTCTTTATATTCACCTACCAGAAAAGCAGAACAACAGGAAGAGAATAACACACCCAGACACACACAGAGACAGAGAGAGCACACACCTATCCACCTGTTTACTTCCCCAAAGCCAGGGCTGGATCAGGCTGAAGCCCAGAACTCCATTCAAGTCTTCCACATGAATGGCAAGGTGTTCTAGCTATTTAGTCATTGCTTTTTGTTTCCTAGGATGCTTAGTGTGAGCCTGGATTGAAATTAGAGTAGACAAGACTTGATCTGGGCTTTTGGAAATGGGATATATATTTCCGAGACAGCTGATATACTCACTGCACTACAATGTCTGCTGTGAGGCTATCTCTTCCATCACTACATCTCCTGTGCCTGACACAGTAGCTGGTGACTAATTCATTAATGAATCAATGAATGAGATAGTTCAAGATGTTAGTTATACAGAAAAAACATAGACTGTGATAGAAAGAACTTAATGAACGTTCAATGGGTGAATGAGTGAAGATGATGGATTACTACAAACAGATATGTTTTCATCATTATGTAACAGAACAGAGCATAATTATTGGCCTTTATAAGAGATACTGTAGAATGAATGTATTTTTAAATATTAAGTTACAAAATAATCAGTTAAATTATTGAAATTTGATGATAAATGCAGTAAATATATTTTATTTGAAACACTTGGGAAGGAGACTTCCATAAATGGAAACCATATGATATACTCAGACCTGCCCTTAACAAAGAAGTTAGGGGGCTTAATTTCCAGTATGACCTTGCTCTACACTTTGTAGGGTATCCTACCTAAACCAGCTTTTCTCTGTGAGCATTCATTGTTTCCATTTTAAAGTGATGAGGATAGACAGAGTGTAATGCTGACAAGCATGGAATTTGGGGATGGGGACCCACTTATTTAAGACTTAACCACACTTATATAAGTAATGTGGCATTGAATATGTCATATTTTATAGAATTTATTACATAAATAATTATTAAGAGCAAATGAGATAATATATAAACAGTAGCTGGTGCATGAATTGGCTC